ACTATACTGTAGTCTCTTAGTGTGCAATAGCATTATGTCTCAAAAAACAATACGAGAATTACCAAAATGTGACGCAGAGACACGAAGTGAGCACGTGCTGTTAGAAAAATGGCGTTGATAGACTTGCTCGACGCAGGGTTACCATAAACCTTCAATTTGTAAAAAAACGCAATATCTGCGAAGCGCAATAAAACGAGGTATGCTTCTAACCCTTTAAAAAGCCAGTGTTACATTTCGAAGAAAGTATGTTGTACAAAAAAAAATTAGCAATTTTGAATGAAATAACTAAACAAGTGAGTGGTTTCAGTTTTTTTGACTGGATGTTTTAATTACAGACACTGAGCTTAAAAGTACAAGATTCAAGCAGGTCTCTGAGACAATATATAGTACACAAGGAAAAAATTCAAATTACATTCTGTAAAAAAATGAACATCTCAGCGTCTCTATTTGAATGTGAGAGAAGAAGATTACAAACATACGAAAATCAGTTTCTAATACTAGTAGATGGATTTAGCCTATCGGATTAGTAATAAATGATGATATTAAAACCCAGGAATAGGAGGAATGGGGGAAAATATAATTAGAAATTATTAACTAAATACAACGCTCATGGAAGAACCCAGGAGTGAATCACATGGAGACATAATGTTCTTTAGCCCAGTACGCGAAGAATAAATTTGTAAGTCATTTTAATTTTTAACATCGATTTCGAGATGAAAAGATGTCCAGTTCTGTTCTATGATCGTTCGGTGTTTGAGGGGAACTCTAGCGGTCGAATGATGAACGAAGTAATGTCTGTTCAAGAGCCTACCGCACGATGTCAGCACAATCAATTGCCAGATTAATTCAATTCAATTTAAATACATTCACACGCAAACCTAATACCAATGTGTATGAAAATGAAATTAATATTTTCTTATATTGGTTCAATCACAGTGATTGACACACATTTTTTTATGTATTCATTCCTATTCTTTGTTACCTGCAAAGAACAAAGTGTAATAATAATGTAGAGGTCTGTCTTTTACTTTATATGTCCCATATACATAAAAGTACTCACTTCTCAACGTCACCTATAAAATATTTAGAGCAGTATTATCCATGGAGTTTCATGATGAAGATTGTTTAGGAGACTACCAGGGTGGTTTTAGGAAAAACCGATCAACAGTTGATCAGATTCACTGCCTTAGAACTACACTGGAGAAGACATGCGAATGAAACATCGAAGTACATTAACTATATATCGACTTCAAACAGACCTACGATAGAATAGATAGAAATAAACTAATATAAATAATGAGAGAATTCGGATTTCCTGCAAAGTTATTAAGATTGGTGATAATTACCCTGACAAATATTTGCAAAAAGGTGAAAATACAAGGTAGGGTCTCTGACAGCTTTGAAACAGTGGCAGGCTTACGACAGGGCGACCCTCTGTCTACACAGCTATTTAAAATTTGTCTAGAAAAGGTATTTAGAGCAATCTTAACAAATCCTGGAGGACACATCTTTAATAGAACCTGTCAGATGATTTGGTGGCGCTGGGAAGAAGCATGGAGTACCTCACAGAACCAATGGAAGAGATAATTACTGTAGCCAAGAAAATAGTCCTAGAGATTAACAACACTAAAAGTAAGTACATACTGAACAAGAGCGGAGCCAATGAGTCTGGGAGGGAATTTGAAAAAATCGCTACTGGTAACTAATGCTACTACGCTCTAGGCCAAGTTCTCAGGAAAAGGTTTATCCACCAAAACCTTAAAGTGCTGTTGTAAACTACTATAATACGACCTATAGTATTATACGGATCTGAATGTTGGACCTTAACATCTCTAGCTGAAAGAATGCTGTGAGAACCTAAAATCTCGCTTTCTCATACATAATTCATAATCGCCTTTCCATTCGATGATGTATAACCTATATATCCCATTAAAAAATTAAGTGTCAGTAAGGAACAAGTGCACCAGATCAGCACTGTGAACTTGTGTCACTTTTACACGTAACAGATCAGCTGTCTGTCCGCGTGGATGCAACATTTACTTCAAAGCCGACATTGCACGCCTCATATACGGGTCGGACATAGACGAATATTACAGAACGGTAACCGAAATTACGTTCAAGAGGTACACGTTTCGAATCTCTGCTGGATTGCCATGGTTTTCCTCATTGTCCCCAGTCAAATGCCACTACAGTTTCTTATTCGTGATTTTTCAAGGTCGTACCAAAATCGTGTAATCTCTGTAGTTGAAATGGTACGCTTAAATAACCTATTTTATTTATTATTTATTTAGTGTTCTGTGTGACGACAGGTCCATATGAACAGGATCCTTCCATCATTTTCTCGGACTGGGACCTGTTCATATACGTTCTTGGCAGATGATCCAGAAGTGGTTTGCCATTGCCTTCTTCTGTGTGTGAATGGAGTAATTGTTGGGATGCCACGGAGGAAAACTCCGTGTTGCCTAGACCACGGCCTTGCCCAATACAAGTTATAAATTCGGGCACCGCCGGGAATCGAACCCGAGACCCCAGGATTACAAGGCCAGCGTTCTAACCGCTAGACCACCGTCTAAGGCTTAATAAATAATTATCCAGTAGTAAAATCCGAAGTTTCAACACTTCTAATAGCAAAGCTAGCTACTGGACGCGACCATACGCCAGTACAGACCACCGCCCAATCTAACAACCCACACTATGAAGTTCCTTAGACCATAAACTGTGAAAGAATATTTCTGTTTACGTATACAATATTTACGCTAATTTCGCAAGAAATTTAGTTATCTTTACTTGTTACAGTTCCCAAATATTAATGATTTGTTGGGCTACACACGCTTTCACACTCACCTTGCTAAATAAAATTTAAAACCAGAAATGTACAATAGTCGTATCACCGGGCAAAAATATTCCAGCGAGTGAGACTTTTCATAACACTTCGAATCCTGTGTGTATGTGTGGGTTAATGATGGTGGGGCATATAAGACAAATGGGAGAAATGGGAAATACATACAAAATTTCAGTCATAAATCTGAAATGAAGAGAACAGTTGGATGTCCTATAGTATACGGTAGTCTAACGTTAAAATGAATCTTAAACAAACGGGTTGAGGAGAGACTTTGGCGAGCGTTAATAAATATGGAGAAAACAATTTCAGGTTCCGGAAACGGAGGAACGTACTTGACTAGCTAGGCGACCATCAGATTTTCAAGAACACTGCTCTTTATAGCTAATTATATAAGGCTTTTGTTTTTTATTTATAAAGAAATTTGAAGGAATGCTATAGAGTTTAGATAGAAGAAAAGATACATTATGTATTATATTAATCATTTTCGTTTCATTTTCATTAGTGAAATGATAATATAATTTATTAACTTGGCCTAAAGAAATAAGAAAGATGGAGTAGGCCTACTCTTCCCACTCTCATTGACAGTGCCGACATGTCCCCAATTGGAGCGCAGTCTGTGGCCTCCCTTTTCAGAACTTCTGGACGTGCCTCGAATCGAATGTTACTCTGATCGACTACACACAAACTGATCACGAGTTCCTACGTGTACAGTATGAGAAAAATGCAAGGCATCACCGAAACTTTGTGACCACCGCCAGCAAATCAGACGTCACAAACATCAGTTGGACGTCAGAAACGTAAAAAACAATTGTATTTTTGCCAGAAATAAAAGCCAAATTATAAATCTAAAATACGCATGTTATTTGCTACGGAAAATTTGTATTACGTTTCAATCATAAAAGAAATTAGTTCGTAAAGTTAAATTATATGGCAATGAATATTATCAAAACTTGTAAATTACAGGAAAAAGTATTTGAAAACCGTGACATTTTCCATAACTGCCTTGCTTATCAATAATTGGGTTTTGTAATTAAAGCTTAAGCTTAAGTGACAAGAAACTGAAGAAAATTACACAATGAGGAACTTCATGATTTCTGCTATTCACCAAATATTATGAGAATGATAAAATTTAGGAGAATGAGATGGGTGGGGTATGCAGCAAGCATGGGACAGATAAGAGGTAGTCAATCCGATTTTAAGACGTAAGTGTCGATGGGAGGACGACTCAAAATTCATCCTTGAGAACTTGGGTGTGAGGGTGTGGACTGAATTCATTTTACTCGGTCCAATGGTGAGCTCTTGAAAACACAGGAAAAATTAAATTTATTGATTCATAAAGGGCGTGACATTTCTTGACTAGCCGAGCCACTGTTCGCTCCTCGAGAAGGACTCTGTTCCATGCCTATTACTCTTAAAATAAATAGGCTATATTACAGAATAGAAGCATTATTTCTACTGTATATCCTTTAATTCATGTTACCTATTATTTAACAAGACTGTCACTTCACTTTTATGTACAAGAATAAATTGTAAAATCATGTTTTTAAATATCTTTTAAGGTATAATTTTCTCTCTTTCTGGAATTTCAGGGCTGACACCCCTTAACCCTGAGAAGCGATATAATACTGAAATTTCTTCCAAAACTAAATTTGGTAGGCACACAATCACGAATGTCTTCCTTGAAGTAGGCAGTGGAATTTCTGCCCAATCAGATTCAATGATTACAAAATCATGAATCCGTCAGAATCTCATTTGTTGTAATGTAGTGCATAGCGTGAATCTGAGGCTTGGAATGGTCCATCTCGATTCAAGTTCCTGTCATTGATGATGACACTAGAAGCTATTTGTGTGCTACTGATGTGGTTGACGAACCGTACCTGTGTCATTCCGCTAGCAATGCCAAAAATGAAATGAAGATGTTCATTATTCATTCCGTCACTGAAATTGCTCTACTTTTCAAGGGATGTGTTCTCTCTTTCTATATTTCCGTCCTTCTTACACACACGAGACTGTGAGTCAATATCAGATCAAAATTCTTTGGGGAAATTAGGTCTCCGATTTTGCTCTTAGTGTGTCACGGGGGCTGACAAGTGAAATACAATGTTGGTAGCAGTGGAGGGGATATACCTGATATAAAAGTTGAATGTCTTATTGATTAAGTACTCATTTGCTGTAATACATCTGTGGAGTCATATTCGTCATTCTAATATAAATTTACTAATTAAATTCAGTAGTTCCTGAGGTTGTCCGTAAAGGAAAAATGAAGTGGCTGTTGTTCTTACTTTCGGTATTATCGGCGATATTGACCTCAACACATTCCTTTGAAATGGTTTTGGAACAAGTGAAAGACGGTGCAACGTTACCAACTTCGAGTGCTATGGATACCACGAAGACTTCAGAGACCTCTGCAGATGACTCAGTTCCAGTTTTGTCCCAACCTGAAGTAATGATTTCAACGTTTCCAATGACTGAGACAGTTCTGCCGTCAGAGATGATGGTCGCTGACCCACTGACGACAGAAGCTTTATCGGGACAAATTGTGCCAGGAGCTAAGGACGAAATTATGGCAGAGAGGACAATGCCAGAACCAGAGGTGACGGAAGACGATGAGATCATCGGCAGAGGTTGGTCAGACACGACTGCCATGGATGTGCTGAAGAAGATATATGAGGAATGTGTACGTCACGGGTCCTTTGCTTGCGTGAAGCCCAAAGTTTTGTCTTTCCTGAGCACTGCAGTCAACAAAGACACGGTTATGCTGACAGACGATCTGATCATCGAGAAGACCGGAAGAGTAATGGAGGACGTTTACGAATTTGAGCAACCGCACCAGGTAGCACCTTCCAGTTACATAATTACACATAGTTCAACATCCTATTTGCACCAAAAATTTGTTGCTCTATTGTGTGTGTGTGTGTACTTTTAAATCTATTTAAATACACATTTTTTAAATTCACACTTCATACAGCGTGGAATGTTTAAATATTAAAATTGTGGATTTAAATTAACATGGAAGGAAGCGATTGTTCCTTATTTTAAAATTCTGTCAATATAGATGCCTGGGAAAACTCAAATGCATAAAACCCCTAACTTAAGACACATAGTCACCAGACTTTGGTTTAAATTCGGGACCTCCTGAATACGAAGCCAGAGTGCTAACCACCAAGACATATTTGAACAGATTACTAATATAATTTATCATATTAAATTATGCTTTTCATATCCATAAACTTTGTTTACATTACATTTTATAGACAATTTGAAAGGAAAAATAAAATTTTGGTTGAATTAGTAAATTTCAAAAATTACCGACAAATATAATATTAAGATTATAAATCACTATTCTGAAAAAAAAAATTAATATACAACAAATACAATATAGTAAAAAAATTACCGAGACAGCAGTAATCAGTGGGCACTGGTCGATGAAATTACATAACTTGGCTAATATAGTCCAGGAATCTTATAACTCTGAAAACGACCATGATTTAGGTTATTTTGTCAAACTTTTGTGTTACTGTTACATCAAATTTCTGATACATGCAGTGGGATGGATCAAACTCAATGCGTGCTGATGTGCTGCTGGAGAAGATCGACTCTTTCTTGGGCACTCACGAGCTAAAGTTGCGAGTTCCCAAAGAGATTGTTTCCGGAGAGTTACTGTCCTACGTACCCAAATTTCTGCTGCAAAACATTCCAGCCGAAATCCGAGTTCCTTTGTCAGACAGCAAGCCTATGGGACAAGGTAAGTTAAAACAGGCCCTCGACAACACTACGAAGCTATCATACTAGACAGAGAACACCGACGACATTCCAAATATATTTTAAAAATTAAATATTTTAATTTGTGAATGTTCAGAGCTATAATTTTCGTTATAACGTCACACAATTTGAAGTCAATTCTCATGGCGCGTCTGATTTTACTCAATACTAGGGTAGTAAATCACTGGAAATGATGGTGGGCAGGTCTGGGAGACTAGAATTTCGATAAAGAATGCTCCCAGAATAAGCAAAATCTGAAAACTAAGGAAAAGAAAGATTAACATTAACTTGGATCTTAGCCCCTTCTAACCGAAACATCTTAAAATGTCAGTTTCATTGAGCGACAGTTTTCTTACGAAGACGACGTTTAAATAATAACAGCTCTCATATTTCCTCTTCCTACTTTTTATTGTTTCTTCTTATACCATTATTTTCTTACTTGTCTCCTCCTTCCTTGTTCTCGACCTTCTGGCAGAACTAAATACTAGCTTAATATGCTTCCGCAGTTAACAGAAGCCACAATGTTCGTGTTGTACACGATTCAAACATCCAGGTGCCTAGATTACAAGAAAAAATTAACGCCCTGGTCTCCAAATTAATTTGTTCAATATCTGAAAGTACCACAGAAAAATACATTGTGAGGTTATGAGATGGATTAAACTGGCACAGGAGCATATCCAATTTTTAGGCTTCTGTGTTAATAGCACTGTACCTCATGGATGTACAACCAAATAGTTTGTGGTAAACCACTTATAACTCTTAATTCTTAAAACTTTGTTTTGACTTTATTTGTATTTTTTACTAACCCTGTCATGATCTGCTTTTACAGAGCGCGGAATCATCAAGAGGGTGGTGATTCCGTTCCTTCTGGGTCTCAAATTCAAGGCAACAGCTCTGGTGCCACTGGCCCTCGCACTTATAGCTCTCAAGACGTGGAAGGCCCTTACTCTGGCCTTGCTGTCTATTGTGCTGTCGGGAGCCATGGTGATCTTTAAATTCACCAAGCCCAAAGTAGTGAATTACGAGGTGTATCACTACCCCGCCGCTGCCCCTGTGGTTGAGCATCCCGCACCAACGTACGAGCACCAAGGCTGGGGCCGCTCGATGGACGCCCAACCTTTGGCCTACAGGGCCTATGTTCGAGTGTGAGGCAACCAATGTTGTTAGCTTCTCTGTGTTATTTAATAAACTTTATTTATTCCATCTTTATTTTTCCAATATCCTATGTAAATATAGTAAAATTAGAAAATATAAAATATGCAGTGCTATTTGCGTGTAAAATTTCGTTTATTACTCGAAAGAATGAAAATGAATTGAGAGTGGACGAACAGATTGATAATCAAATTATTTTGGCATGTCAGGGAACGATTAAACATGGAGATAATTAAGTAATGGGAAACTTAATAATTTATGCCCTTTAACTAAAATCAAATTAACAAATTAAGGACGATGAGATGGAAAGAGCATTCATCAGAGATGAAGATGTGAAAATGCCTTAAAAACTTCAAAATTATGGTCGGAAAATGGACGAGACAACTTCTGAGACGTAGACGTAGTTGATGGACTGTCCTATTATAATCCCTCTTTTTCTGTAGTATCTGGGGAATGTAGAAAATCTTACCAGTTTTCAATAAAATTGGTAAATTAAATTAAACAATAAATAACAGCAATCAGTATTCCAGAAATCACCTTTCGGTAGGAATGCAAATGGGAAACTTCTGGAATGTATTTCTTATCATAATAATATCACGGTCAAAGCAGTGAATATTAAGTTAATAGGCTTAAGCCTTGAGACTAAGTACCAGTCAGTGAAATTATTAATAAGTCACATACTGCGACATCAGATGCAGATAACTGAAGAAGGCTGTTTATCGATTGTGCTGGAGACTGTGGGAGACGAGGTACTATTTGATCTAGGTCTGTGAAAAGAAAACTGTAACACTGTAACTAGAAATCAGATTCCAAATGTCTTGTCCCAAGAATGGATCATAAAATTTTTCTTATAGTTCATCACACGAAATTTCGACGATACTTGATCTAATAATAAATATATTATATAAAATTGCTCACTTATTCATTTAAATTTCGAGACAGTGCAAAATATTTTCAATATATTAGGAAGGTATCCTACTATAATCTAGTCAGGGTCACCAGCTATGTTGGCCAATATACTTCGTATTTTCCTCAGCCGCTACCAGGAGAACGCCGACATAGTGAGTCTACTGCAGAAAAGTCAGGATCTGGTTGTCGCAGCGATACTCCGGCTAATCTAACTGAGACTTTAATGGTCTTACTCAGTTCCTCCTGCCAAATAACTATTCTAATCTCTGTCGTAGTACAGCCCAGATTAAATACATTCCCTGATTTTGCAGACGACTCTGGAATGTACGTCGTAGTACGAAACGACAGCCTTTAACAAAATTCTATCGTGATTATCTTAAGAAACTATTAAATTATACACGCCTAAAACTACAGGAATTTAAAAAGTATTAATTATGTATTTATTCTGAGTTTTAGAACCGTTTAAACTCATAGGTAACGCGTAGGAGGAACATACTGACTCCGAAATGCTGGTATCTTCCTACTAGTCTGTAAAATCCAGATGAATGAAATCGTCATTCTCATCGCAGTGAGAATCTCGTGTCTCGCATTGAAATATTGTTGCTAAGACACTTAAAAATCGCCCAATTAATTAACTAGTGACCGGATTATTTCATAAGGAACAGTACTGAGTCTTGTAAATGGAAATGAAAGTTATGTTGAACTCAGTTCGGATATCCTGTTCCTACTTTTGGTCACGTAACTACATCGACAGCTCGAAATACAATAGAAACGCACGTTCCAAAATCGAACGCGTTCGGTGTCTGTGTCATTGCCGCTGATATATTACCAGTAATAAAAACGTGCCAGTTCAGAAACTTTGCACAAAACGTCGCGCGTATATTGCCTCTGATTTGTACTTGGGATATACCGTGTTTCATTCTTGATTGTTCCAATGTCACAACGTATAAAGCAAGACATTTTGTAAATGACGTTAAATCAAATTTTCTAAAACATGTACGATTTAATTACGTGTATCTTAGAAAGTGAAAGCTAACTGGAGACCGTGTAGTTTGAGCTCGAGTTTCGGTGCACGAAAGATTGTCCACGTTTCTTTTTCTGTTGAACATTCATATTTCCCATCCAAGTAATTCTACAGCCTATTCAGAAGAATCACTATCTAAAATTTATTTGAATCCTAACAGACAAACGGATCTAATTTTGTTTCAATAGAAGACTTTTACTTTTTGAACTGTTAGCGAATAATCCTACTGGTCTTATGTGATTCAATAATTCTGAAATTTCTGAAATATTTTACGTTTCTGTCAGAATTCTTCGTAATAAGAATCAGCCCACCGCAAGGCATCGCACATACCAAAACATCACCTTACAATGACCTGAGCGATTTCAGTTTTCGAATCGTCCAAAATCATGAACAAGACTAACAAAATAAATTATGTAGCTCTCATTTTCCCTTTCCAATTCAAACCCAGTGCGTAACAAATCAGCCTACGTTATGCCATCCCGACAAAGCAGTGGTGTGCATTATCGACACTTAGAGAAACAGAGCTCTGTTATAGTAACTAGACAGTTCAACGCCGCTAATACCGAAGCTCGCCATCTGATTATTCTGAGTCAGTTTCATTTACCTCCAGTCCTCTAAATGTTTCTTTAAGGTCATTCTTAATGTTTCCTCTCGTTATATCTTTTCTACTAAAATTCTGCAATTTTGTGAAATCTATTTCTTTCCAAATATATTTATATTTCTGGCCTATCGTAATCTCACATATTTCACTGCCAAAAAAAAATATCAAGTGATCTGTATAAGTCGCGAAATCCCTTGCTATATAATACAGCTGTTGAATTCTAAATTTTATCTTCGCAGATGTTTTACTGTGGTTCTGTTCTTTTCGGCAAACGTAGAGCAGACTCTTTGCTTAAGTAAGTTCAACGCCATGGAGATATGTAGAAGAGGTGAAGCTCTGTACAGTCTTCACACTCCGGCCGCTTTAACCTCGATGAGACAACCCCTATCCATTCCTTTTTGATACTGATCTGGGTGGGCCTCAGGGCCGTGCAAGGCGGAGAGATAACCCCGATTGGCCGTCTCGTTAAATGTCAATATATATGTCACATATATTCTTTTAAATTCTTGTAATTTAATTTTTTTTTCCTTGGAGTAACAGACTACGCCTCACAACTATGCAGATAATTGGTAATATCAGCTGATATTCAATGTAATTAAGCTAATATAATGTGTATTGTTTTGGACACTAGACGTATCATAACCTAGAAACCTTATTATACAACGTGACCTTGTGGGGATTCGATAAAATTTATTCTGAAGTATTCAACACGCGTCATATCAAAACAATAAGAAGCGAGCTAATTTGCTTGCTTATGGTAGACATCAGGATACAACGCACAGGAATTCAGGACGACATTTTCTTCAATCTTGCACGGTCTCTTTGCCTTATGATCTCTGCCAAATTATTCTCTCTGACCTTGATCTAATTACAAAATTGTCCAATTAAGCCAATAGGACGTCCATGCCTTAATAGTGGCCAGTTTCTATCAGATTACAGTTAGAGAAGTAGAAATGTCTCGCCAGTAAACACTTCGGAATTAGCTTAGAGCGAATGATAGGCGGTTCGAGCATTATGAATGAACAGAGAGTAAGACTTCAGGTTAGTGCAGAGAGAATTTCGTGATGTTCTGTGATACTTTGCATCCTTCACTGTTCTTAACGTCCAATTATTTTATAAACAAATCTATTGCTGTAGACGCAGATGCATTATCAGGAAGCTAAATCACACTACAGACAGAATCAGAAACTCTGTATAATTACAGTTTATTAATATTTATTCTATAGAAAAATGCTTGTAATAAATAGTATTGAATTGTAACAGTCATTCATAATAATGTTACTGGTTGTTGAAGTGTTTTGAGATAACCGATAAGCTTTGATTTGAGTTTTGTATAAAGGTTATTGGCTCGATACGGACTCAACGTCTAATGAGACTCGCTTACAAAAGAGTTGACTGTTCCTAGGGCCATCACGTGGACTGGGGGAGTCATAACATCCTACTTTAACTAGGCTAATTCCAACTCTAAGCTTAATACAGACTGAGATGTTCTCGTTCCTTAATTTTTCCAAAAGCAAACATAAATCTGAATTTCGGTTAAACATATTTCCACTTTAGTTGATTTAAGTAGAAAACAGCTGTACGCAAGTAGGTATTTCACATCCATGTGAAATATTTTTATTAAAACTGGGGTATTTGGGGCCGGACATCGTGTATAATTTGAAAACTGAGTCGGGCTTCATAAAAAGGAAGAGGGTTTTTAGTCTAACCTGAACAGATCCTAACAATAAATACCACGGAATCAGTCCAATAGTTTTGGTGATGACTAATGCGCACAAAAATACAGAAATAGCCCTTCCGAGTACACGGTTATTTTTTTTAAGTTCATACATCGATGACAAAAATATATTTTTTTTTAACTTATGAAATTTGGCTTCTAGATGTATTGTTGTTGTTTATTCGGTTGTTTAAAATCGCTGCCTCAACTGCAAAGTTTAGGCAGCTTCGAATGGGATGGGAACGTGGTTATGAATAATGATTAAATGATTAAACATGTCTATCATTAATCAACAATTCTTTCATTGATCGGGATGGGAACGTGGTTATGAATAATGGTTAACGAAAGATGGCAGAATGATTAAACATGTCCATCATTAATCAACAATTCTTTCATTGATCTTTGTTTTAACAAATGGAAGTTGGATGTTCACAAGGAATAAATTGCCGTGTCTCACGGAAGTGTTAAGGAATTTTTATGGCTTGTGACAGTGACACTGAATCAGCTGCTTGTTATTCATCAGGCGATATAAGAGTATGGGTCCTACTTTGCGTGTCCTGTTGGAACGGAAAAAAGTGCTACATTCGAACTCGTAGGGACCGCTACGACCATTGCGTCTCTTTGCCTTGGTATAAAACACTGACGACATACGCCGGGCCCTGCCACACGTACCTCACACCTCGACTGAATCCGTCCAACTTCCAGAGGGTAGCAATGAAGTGGAGGTCGCCCGCTGTGTGCCTGGTTCTAGCAGCTTCACTGGCGGCGTCGCAGCCAACAGGACAGAAGGCGAAAGACGCTGCTTTTTGGAAGGAGACGCCAATGGACGGAGTGGTTCAAGAGTTTCAAACGAAGTGCGCGCAAAGAAATGATCACGCCTCATGCCTCAAATTTAAAGTTCTGAACCTTCTGGATGAAATGTTCAGAAGGGATTCTTTTAAGGTAAGTAAACGAAGTTCCGTAAATGCAATCTTCATAAGACCATCATGAGAGAAATATCACGAGTTTAGACAAATCGTATTATTCATTAATTACTAATTTTAAATTTTATTATACTTATTATTAAACTTTGCTTATGTTCTTGGAGTTGTAACTTCCAAAAAGCAGATGTGGGGCCTAATGGTCATGTCGCCATAATTCGTTCTTCTACAATACATAGACTATAATTATTTATCAGTCTCAGGGAATAAGAACTGGAAATTCCTTTACGACGTGTTAAATTGTTATATCGTCATGTTTCTCTCGCCAGAGCGTATGTATTTTAATATTATCTTGTCATACACGTGTTTTGTGGACATCACGCAACATTTAGGGACTACGCCAGTTTTTGTACTTTCAGTACTGATACCCTGGTGACTATACATGATTCTGAAGCGTACCCTAAAAATGTTAGATCTACATTATAGTAAGAGATTTCCAATTGTTCCTTTTTGGAAGACATACTTATTTAAAATGTAAACCAACAACCTGGACAAAATGGGCACGTGAGGATTGAGATCACGTCATGTCGGCCTTGTCACTTACAGTCTGCTTCTCCTCGTTATCTGTGACCTGTGTTGCAGGTGTCAGATGCTGTGGCTTTAATACGAAATTCGTTCAACCCTGAGCATCAAACGACCCCTTCTGAGGACAGAAGCGTGGATGACGAAGTACTTAACGAAGTGGGACATTTTGTACAAGGGCACGACCTGTTGGTAACACTACCTGGGGCCACCCTCAACTTGTCGCCACGACATTTAGACCATGACGAAGTCACAATATCTCTGAAGTTCAGTCAGGAACAGGGCAGGGCTTCAACAGTAGATGAAGGTAATTCTCTACTGGCTCACTTAAGCGATGGTTTCCGATTATACCCGGTGGAGATGCTATTTAAAATCGGATATACCTAATCCGATCTTCCCCCAACTATAAATGGCGAAAAGATTTATTTCAACGCTTGTGTGTCTACATTTCATTTCGAATATTTCCATTTTCTCGATCACTTTTATAAATATCACAACATTTTTGACTCAAAGAACATTTTGCATAATTTAAAATCAGCCACTACCGAACGTCTCTAGCTTACCTACTTTGTGTTTTGGAGGTTCCGGCTTCGTATATCGGCTACGAACCTGGCTATCCTGAATGAGGTTTTCCAAAGTCTTTCTCAGTCATTCCGGGCAAATGCTACAATAGTAACTTAAATCAGTTCACAGTCTTTCAAATTCATTATTCACTAATTATCCTATAATTCGACACATTACTCTCTGAGCTACTGACATTAAAGTTAAATAAACCACGAAAATCAAACCATCCTTGGCTGTCCTTAGACATATGCATGAGCTAAAGGAACTATATCTAATTTTGCATACCGAGGTGCTGTTGGTACTTAGTGCTAAATTCTAACAATTACTAAAGCAATATGTGGATTGTTATATAGGTTCCAGCTTGCATGTCAACTGAATGACAAATTTTGAACTGTACCTCAAGATTAAAATGTACATACTTCATATTTTATCATCTCATCCTATTTTAATTTATTAGACAAATACACTTTTGTGAATATCTATGTCTTTTTGTGAACAAAATATTTAATTCAACATATTCATGAGATTTCAGGTTCTTACAGCGATGAGTCTAAAATCGACTGTCTTCTTGGATGTTGCGAGATGCAATCTTGTAAAAACTGACCGACGTTTCAGATATATTTTATATCCCCCATCATTAACGTGCCCTGATAGTACGGGGGAAGCTGTAATATGTGGTAACATCCCAAAGACAGTCATCTTTTAAATTAATATATAATTTTTTTTTGTTAGAACAAAATTATTTAGGCCATTAATACATAATCATGCATCTGAGACAACTCCGCAGCTAAGTTAATTCACTTTTAACATCATACTACTAATGTACGTCTCATCCCGCAAGTGAGATATTTTCCTTGGAGGCTTCCAACTACATTTAAATTTTTTTAATTGTTTGCGTTATAAAGCAAAATGCATTTATTTACACTAGAAATATCGCCTCTTCGAGCAGTCTCTGGCCGACAAGTACGAAAGCGGATGGCGGAGACAGAGATATATATACTTTATACACCAACTGTCTGAAGCTGATTGGCTCGTGACGACACGTGAGAGTTGTTGCGCAGAAGAGTCCAAACATCGGGCGTCGTCGTTCGTGTTTGTCATTTCAATCGTATGTTAGAGTAACGGTGGTCTTCTTGCACAGGTCGGAGGAGCAAGCTTAAGAAGATATTCGTCCCGATCTTAGTGTTCCTGCTGCTGAAGGTCGTCACCTTGGTCCCCCTCTTCATCGGGGCTCTGGGTCTGAAGGCGTGGAACGCTCTCCAGCTCAGCTTCTTCTCCTTCGTGATATCGGTGGCGCTCGCCATCTTCCAACTGTGTAAGAAGATTGCAGCTGATGCGTCACCGCCACAGGTCGTGGCCCACGGTCCCTGGGATTCGAACCCTACACAATACAGTGCCGCCAGAAATTTAAATTCACATACTCTGGCTTACAGATCTCACAACCAGGCGGAGTGAATAGCGAAAACTTGCATAAATTAAACCAAACAATTTCCTTGTCATCTGATTGGTCACTTTCAGTTGTACTATTCAGTAAGACGTAATTAGCAAACTTTAGCGCTAATGTGAGAAAAAACATTGCAATTCTCAAGCAGTTCTGCGTGCTCCAGAAAATTATTAATCCAGATGGAAATTTATTTATGTTTACGAGGGCCTTACCCACGGTGGCCTCGCTGAATTTTGTTGAAAAAATGCCTTGTGAAGCCTTGACGTGCGACGGTCTGCGGAGATTTAATCTCCAGTAAGGACATCGCCAACATTTCCTGAATGACCCTGGAAGCCTCTCAGTCCCTGTCTGATACGAAGCCAACCCCCTTTACAGGAAGCGTGAAAGTCTTACCACGCTAGAAGCCACCACCGAGGTGTTCCTGTATCCATAACGCATGTTACCTCACTCCGTAAGTCCACCCTAATTTTTCATACCGAACCATCAAGTTCAATGTTGTACAAACAATTACAGGCACGTAACAAATATTCAAGTCATGTTGTGTCTTTGATTGTCCCTGCTACTTGTTAGAGGACACTACCCCCCTCCACAATTTTTAGGACTATTCTGTGTGTGTGCATGATAAATAATAATGTACAATTGTAAATGAAACTCAAAATATATGTTACTATGTAGTTGTATGTTATTTCTGTCGTTTATAAAAATACATTCTCCCAGTGATGGTAGGATAAGGATATTCGACATAACCTCGCAGCTAACACAGTGTTTATTTTTCAGGAGTATAAAAATCACAACTTTCTTAGCTTATATTTCAAGATAAATAAGACGGATTTTAAGTCACACTGGGATAAGTAGGTTGATATTCATTTAGTTATTACCCCCCCAAAGGCTCTGAGCATAGAAAATGTGTTATTTTTTTTTTATTTAATGGGTAATAAAATTCTGTATTTCCTTGTACCACTGACGTAGAGGATTGTATTGAAGATGACTCATTATGGGATATTCTTAAAATAGCTCTAATCAATCTTGGGCCTATATAAAAGCAGTGCGGTAACAACTAGATATTCATTCGTCTCATTAAAGATAAAAATATTAATTAAAATTAAGGAACCATAATTATTTTTATGGTATTTTTAGCTACGGGACACTGTAAAAACTCAATAATAATAATGACATTGTGAGATTTGAGATTCTCACGGCTGTGACAATGTCTATGTTATTCTGAGTTGTAGCACCGTGTAGACATACAGGTATGTACCAACGTTTCGGAGAAACATACTGATTCCATCTTCAGGTACCAAAATAATTCAGACTTATGTTTAAAAAAAATAGCCTGTGGCCTGAATATTTTACGAAAAATTTCTAATAAAATATTTATTATTCATCACATATAAATGTCAATTTTATTTGTAATTCCCGAATTATCTTTAAAATTTGTATAATAATATGTATATGTTTGTTTGTGTGTGTTTTTATATGTGTCTTGTTTTCGAATTTCATTTTATTTTGTTTCTATTTGATATAATTGCATGTTGATCAAATTCATCGAAATATCTTAAGATATTACTGAATGATATGTTGACGTAGATGGAAAATATTTCATGGTTTGGATGACTTACAGATGCACAATTAATTAAATTACAATAAAAGTGAAGTCTTTATTTCATTAATAAATTTCTGCTTTATGGATTTAAATACAGGTAAAATAGTATTGTAATCTAGTCTTTGCGTAGATCCGTTAAAATAAGAACGTTTCATTCGTTTAGTCTATGTATTTTAATTATTTAAATAAATATTTTCTAACCTTCGAATTACTGTGAATTCTCCCAAATCCTAATAGAAAATGTCCTTCCTTGGAATTTAACAAAATTCTAAATTACTTTAAAATAATGATTTAATACCTTCTAAACCTGCCTTTACCATGATTGAAAAGGTCACATTTTCTAAATACTTATCACGTCAACGCTGTAGGCATGATAATTTATTAAGTATTGGATTTTTAAATTTTATTCTCTTGATAACAGAATAAGTAGTTGCGTCATGCTACTCTCTTTGTGATACTATTTAAAGGAGTTAATTATATATAAAATAAAGATAAAAAAGCCATAATTTCAGGTTTAACACTAATGAAAGCAGGACACTAGTTAAGATATGATGTTGACTGGGTTGTGTAGCGCAGAACAGAACCTGCCGTAGGTTGTAGTGTTATATAAATCTTCGGTTTTCAAAACTTTTCGTAGGATTTCCTGACCAGCTGAGTAACTATTACCTTCTTACCATGAAATTCGTTAGGAAACTGCAAACTAAAGGAAATTACTTTTTGTATCAGGGCGCCAAACAAATACGCCGAAAATGTGACATTATCATTAATCACCTCCTAATTCTTCACAAGGAAAGCATTATGATTAAACTAGTTAAACTATACTCTCTACCGTGAGAACCTGAGAACTCACATGGTATAAATTGACTGAAATTCTTGTATAAGTGAAGCTCTGTTGCATTCGGACCAATATCGCTCTCCAACACAAGTTCAATATCGGATTGGTATCGACAGTTTTGAAAATTAGACGCAATAAAGTGAACTCTGTATGTGTCACATTCAGTAACTCAACATTTTGCAGACAGTGTATTTGTTGGTCTAATACGATTATCTGAATATTTTATTTATTTCGTTAAACAACATTAACCAGCTGAATCCTATAACCGAGATACACTACTTTTCATTTTAAATAATAGCCGAATTTTTAAATAACAGTTAAATCAAACTTTTGGGTTTAAAGCGTAGATTACAGAATTACACAAACGGGCTCCTGCCAGTACACAATTATTATTGTCCTCGTAACGTATTACTTGTTCATTTTCGGTCCTAACTTCGTCGCCGAAGCTGTTTGAAAAATTTTGCGTGGATTTTTGTTTCTGTATTGTCCCGAAATAAACCGTTGGTTCCATGAAGGATGGAGAATTTCTTGATTACTTTCTCATGAAAAGTTGATCATGAATCCAGCATGTCCATCCTGTATGTTACAGTCCGATCAAAGCATTTGGTGACGTCACGACCGCTTCTCCCAGTTCATTCATCAGCTTTTTTCCTCTCGATGTCACTTTTATTTATTATTTATTTAGTGTTCTGTCTGAGGACAGGTCCATATGAACAAGATCCTTCCATCCTTTTCTCGGACTGGGACCTGTTCATATACGTTCTTGGCAGATGATCCAGAAGTGGTTTGCCATTGCCTTCTTCTGTGTGTGAATGGAGTAATTGTTGGGATGCCACGGAGGAAAACTCCGTGTTGCCTAGACCAAGGCCTTGCCCAACACAAGTTATAAATTCGAACCCGAGACCCCAGGATTACAAAGCCAGCGTTCTAACCGCTAGACCACTAAAATATTTGAGAATGTTCGTTTATTAAAGAAATTTATTTTAAAGTATGCCACGGCCGTGTTTTCTTTTATACATTACTATTCATAAGTTACAAACATCTCAACATACGACGCCAATAAGTTATGTTATTAAAGAAACTTTTTTACAAAAATTAAAGATCCAATCATTACCTAAAATAATGCCATGAAAACTCATTCCTGGATGCCTCTCATTTATTGACAAAAAACTTAAAATTTGAAGTTAGGTAGCTCATGCAGTTGATAAACTGTCGTTAATTAAAGCAAGAGAAGGAAGTATCATTCACAGACGGTCTGTTTGTCTGTGAATGAATTACGTGTGACGTGTGCATGAATGAAATGGCGGCCATGCGAAACACGTAGCGTCTAGTAGCACATTTAGGATTGGAATCCATCACCGACATACTTTCCGTTTAGCTTCACCAACACCCAGCTTCATCACGGTCTGAATGTGATATTCTTCGTTCGGCGATGGTATTAAAATTCGCTGTCGTTCATTTAGGAATCTTTTGTCTTCAAATCTGCTTGCTGAAAACGTAGACTAAAATACTGAATATTGTGATTTTACCTGTTGTCTTCTTTTACAAGCGTGAAAATTAGTCCGTCACTTTAAGGGAAAGGCAAAAGACTGAGAATGTTCGGAAAAAAAATGCATGTAAGAGAAAGGACGTGACAACAGTTGGAGAAATTTGCATAATGAGGAATTTAAGAATTTTTATTCTTCATTAAACATTACAAGGATGAAAATTTTAACGCTTATTAGATGCGTAATGATAAATATGCACACAATTTTGGGTGGAAACCCTGAAGAGAGGAGACCATTATGAAAATCCTATGCGTAGATATCGGGATAATATTAAAATGAATCTTAGGAAAATTGTGTGAGACAGATTGTGGACAGAATATGATGCTATGGACCAGTGGCTGGCTGCTTGGACAATAGTAATGAAACGAGTTAAATTAAAGGTAGGGAATTCTTTGGGTATTAAGCGACTGTTAGTATCTCAACGACTCTGCTCAGTGGAGTTATGTAATGGCAAGTCTTCAACATTTATTTAAATCTGTAGTCTCTTTCTTGAGTAGTTAATGTTAAATCTGTCGGTTAAGAAATTGATAGTTTTTACAACCGGAAAAAGGCCTTTGGAATGAACTTCGCCGTGAAATTATTCCTTTTCTTAATTCATCCCTAAACTATTTACTTACTAAATTTATGCTTAAATGATTGTTTCATCTTCTTAGCTGACGGAAGATTATGCAATTATATGTTTCCCATTGGGAATGCAAGTAAACAAACACACATACACATCAAGACTGACTTCTATATAAGGTAAAACACATTTATTTGGTGATCTGTAAGACGAATTTAAACCAACAGAAATTATTTTTACTTAAACCCTTCTTACCAAGCACGATTTCTTTCTGTTACGTGTGGAATCCAGGGTCCTATATAATATTAAGATCAAGAATCGGATATTGAGAGCTCGGAACGTGTTTCTCGCCTGACCTTGAATAAAAATTGAATGAATATATGGATGAATGAATTAATGAATGAATGAGTGAATTACATGTAAACTAATGTGTTATAGAGGAATTAAACTAACTAGTGCATTAATGTATAGAAGAAATTGTGAGGGAAGACGTTAATTACAGAATGCAAAAAAAAAAATATTTCTGACGTAAATCAATATTTTTCTTATCTCACGCATGTAACACTACTATATAAAAGTTTATTTGACATTTACGTTTCTCATCAAATATTGGTCATTCATTCTCTTCTGTACCCTGAACTCATAAAGCATTCACGACGCACTAGGCCTACAGTTAAACGGAACTGTCTGGGATTGGAGCCAACAGGACTTTTTCTCTCGACACCAAAATGATTAACTCCAGCCTACTTTCCATATAATGAATCCTGTGGTATCATAATATTCGTGAGCATCTCACTAATGACATTTAAAACTGCCGATGGATTCTCATTAAATTTATTACAAGTGTAGCAGCGTTGGAAGTGAGTCCATTTTCGTATATTTTAATTCCTCGTTAACATTAACATCAACACGACTTTAGCGCGAAATTCTGAG